CCCAAAACATAACAAAAACCAGATGCATACTGTACAAAGACAAAAACACAAGCACAAGCTAAGAATAATTTTTAAAAAATACCTCTGTCCCGGTCACCGTAGCCACCACGATCGCGATCAAAACCACGTGGACCACGATCATCACGTCCTCCTCTATCATCTGGCCGGCCGCCAAACCGATCATCTGCTATAGATGATGCGTTAAAAAAACCTGTAGCAAATCAATCCCAACTGAGCAATTGCGCAAAACAGAACAACACAACATACAACTAGAATATATACCCCTGCCCCCCCCCCCCTTCTCTGCCCTCACAGAAGGCACTACAACACTACCAAATAGATATTTACTAAACAGCTTATATAACTATAAATAACAAGTATATTCCATCTCCAATAATTATTGGTTTTGGCTTAGCAGAAAAAAAAAGGAAATCAAAAACGCCAAAAAATCAAAACTACTGGAAATTTGTCTACAGACTTGTAAGCAATCTTCCCTCAAACGAGAACCGGGCATCGACAGCCTCAATAACCGGTGGCAGGGGATCACTACCCTAAAATTTCCGCTTCCCAGACCGCCTGGTTCCCGACATACCTGTCAAAAATTTTCACGGGGCCGTACTTGTCATCCGTAGGCAGGGGGAAGCTGAATTTAAATTTTCTGGGTAGTACATTGGCGGGGATTGCTGCTGGCATTTGCTACTCCCACGTTATTTCCTGACATTTACTTCCGTCTCCCATACAAAGCGAACGAGGGGAGGGTTTCTGACTCCCACTTTGATGTTTGTGACCTTGAAATGATAAATAACAGCCATTAGAACTTTAACATCTCATCCCTTCCCCCCCTCCCCTCTTTCCCCGTACTATTCTTCAACTACCAAGGTAAAAACTAACAAAAACTCACTTCCATAACCTCCTCCACGGGGACCACGATCATCCTGAAATTCACCATAACCGCCGGGTTTTCCCATCATAGCCCCGGGATGGGCTTGCGGTGGTGGTGCACCTCGTGATGGCGCCTGTGGCATTGCTCCATAGGCTGGTGCCGATGCACTGCCATATGCTGGTGCTGCTGTTCCGTTCTGTCCCTGCGCAGGTCCACCGGTTGGTGCAAAATATCCCGAATAATTGTGAGCTGCATTCGGCTGCAAAGGTATTTATTTACGCGCTGAACTTCAAGGACTTCTACAAAGAACTTAAGCACCTTTAGTATGTACGAATTTTATATGCATATGGCATAATTATCAGTGTTAAAACTATTTCCCAGAAGTCTAAACCAGCATATATAAAAGTAGAATGACAAAAGTTCCCCCAGCTGCATCAATGGCGAGAAGAAACGCGATGATGAAACAACAAAAAACTAATCGAAATACCAAAATAAGATTCTGCTATGCCATTTGCATCAAAAATAAGCTTCCAGATATCTCGGGAATAGCTAAATTTTAATTTTTTGGCCAAATTTCACTGTTTCTTAACGAATGAAGGACCGCAGAAAGTCTCGTCGTTCTAATGGCGAGGTTGAACGCTCATCCCCCAAGCGAGAAGCGCTATTCCCCACTATTCTACGTTCAAAACAGGTCCAACTCTGGAGGCAAGCACTGCTTTAGGTTTTTGGAT